CACCATTAGATGCATCTTGACAAGCTTTACAAAAGTCTCTTAAGCAAGAAAGATGATTAACTTAGTATAAAAAAAAAGTTTACCTTGGGCGAACGCCACATTCGCATCATAGTAAATTTATATAGTAATTTGAGTCATATTTTATTAAGATTACACACCAGTTAGGGTGTGTAGCACAGCTAAAAAATCTTGCATGCCATATAGCATGCTATTTGCCAAAGTTCGTGCCAATATGCCACCCTGGCATGCTACTGAAGCACATGACTGATATATTTCAATTTGATTGGTCGACTATTCTGTCTTATATAAATTTTAATTTTTACTTTTAATATGAAATGCTCTATATTTGAAACATTAAACTATTTATTTTGAAGAGTGTTAATATAGACAGAATAATGTATAATTAATTTTTAATAATATTATAACTCTATTCATCAATCGCTTCTTATAATTAAGTATAAATAAACAATAAGCATAACTATATATTTTTAAAATAAAATATTTGAATATAAACTCCAATTAATTTTATTATATTTTATAATATTTTTTATATTCGCATATCGTTTGTGAATGTATATACATTTATTATTCATACTTTAGCTATAAATTGAAGCTAATTAGGCTCAAGAAAATAAGTCTTAACTTTAGACCATGCTCAAAGCGATAGATTCAAACCAGATTTAACCAATTTCTAACTATGGCTTCGAATTAAACCATCCCATAGTATAGGTTAAAAAAAATTAAAAAATTATATTCTGCATAAGCCACGGCTAGGGTTGTTAATGGAGCAGTTTGGTTTGGTTTGGGTTATAAACCAGTAGAGTAAATCTAAAACCAAACCAAACTAGTTTAATTATTCTAGCATATCTCCAGTTTATACTCCAGTTTATACTCCAGTTTTATACTCTAGTTTATACTCTAGTTTATACTTCAGTTTATACTTCAGTTTATACTCTAGTTTATACTCCAGAGCAATACTCCAAGACAATACTTCAGAGCAATAAATTAAAGCAATACTCTAAAGCAATGCTTCAAAGTAATACTCTAGTTAGAGATGTGGCAACTTAGTGTAGTGGTCTAGTCGTTACCTTCTCCAAGTGGCAGGTCTAGAGTTCAAATCCCATTGATGATGATATTTGAAAAATAGGCTTGTGTTTCGGTTAATAGCTATGCTTATCAGTTGGATCTAGAACTAATCTGTAACTTTGGTCACACCATCTTGTAATGGAAGCTTCAGTGCAATAAATCTGAGGAACCGGTATAACTGAAAACCCATTTGGCAAGTCCCGAATTGGAAGTAGCAGTGATCTTTGATAGTATCACAAAAAGGCTGAATTTGAACCGGGGCCCGAAATTGGAGAACTAAGCGACCAGGTTCACTGGCAAAGAACACACTAGCTGAACTGCCAGGTTGTCGCATCAGAAGAAAAGGACATATGCTCTGAAAGTATGGACTAAGGGAGGGCGTCTTTCAGGCATCTAAAGCCTGGGCAAACCAACTCATCCGAGTTGCCGGCTGGAAGTAAAGAAAAGACCAATGAAGAATCCAGGTAAAAAGATGGTCTGAATGCGGGTACCGGGGTTGCTATGAACCTTATAAGGGCAAGGAGTATATAATGGATGACTAATTAGGAAGGTTGTGCTTGAGATACAGATCGGGTTATGGCAGCACCCCAAAAGTTAGCTTGAGATACAGATCGGGTTATGGCAGCACCCCAAAAGTTAGCTTGAGATACAAACTCGATAGCGCAGTACAACAGGTACTAGTTAGGAAGAAGTTACCAAACATGCAAGTGAGCGCATATATGAGACATGCACCACTCTGTTAGGTTTACCACAAGGATAAATGCCTCCCAAATTAGTTTGGTGGCTAAAGCTTAGGGTCTTTAACGGTAAATTACTCTGTGAAGAGATATATTAGGAGGAAACATGTGATGTTAGTTGAAGCCAAAGAGTTTAAATAGATACCCCCCTAGTTGGGGTGCAGGTACAGCAGATAGTGTAGAACCTTCAGACGGACTACTTAAATTAGACACTCAAAAAATGCATGTGTGGCTAGCTGTACTCTCGTGATACTGATGTAATATATAAAGCCAGTGTTAAATTAATTAATATTGGCCTACCCGCTTAAACTAATAAAATGCCAAGAGCCTAAGTGGTTACCTTAATATTAAAAAAAAAAAAGTAATACTCTAGTTTATACTCTAGAGTAGTAGTATAAATTACTATAATAAAAATAAACAAATATTATTAAGATAATTTACTTATTTATTATTTGAAGAATTGCAAATGCAACTAGAAATAATTAGAATTGTTATTTTTGATAAAATTAGTGTTTCGATCCATAATCCAACAATTTGAATTGATCTGATAATTCGGATTAAATATGGATATCCTAATCTGTTTATTTTAACGAATAGATCCTAAATAATTATCAGATTAAGGATAAGGATTATGCGGATCCTTATCCTAGATATATATAATCTGAATTACTGTAACAGTTTATTTCTCCAATAGCTCATTTCGCTGACAAGTTTTTTTTATAAATTACACTAACTTTAACTCTTATTCTAATCTGACAATAACCAGAATTACTTTGTGAAATGAGCTGTCAGTTGGTGAAATGAGCTATTGGTGAATTATATAAATTCTGAGACAGCTAAAAAATTTTCTAATGACTGAATCGATAAGTTATCGAGCTGGAATCAATAAGTTACCGATGCTGGTTGACATCAAAAACTTATCGATTCGGTCATAGGCAATGTTTCAAGTGTTTTAGAATTTATAAAAACTGCAAAGAAGATCCAAATTTAGTTCGAATAGTCTTTTAAGAATAGGATTGAAACACTACATATTAGATGTTTAATTACTAGGATTCCCATTATTGAATCTGAATTGAATACGAATTTGCTAATCCGAATTAAAATTCGAATAAACTGGATATGTTAATGAGGATCCAAATTTAATCCGAATGGCCTTTTGAAAATAGGATCAAAATACTAGATAAAATATTAAATAATTTATTTATTCTGCTATACTGGGAAAATAATAAATATTCTCCTAACAGCACACTTATAGAAGTGCAAAACATTCTATATATGCTACTGAGTTTGTATGTGTATGGATTGAATTGGTGCAGATAGTGATATATATATATGTATATATAGTATATATATACATACCTGATATAAAACCATATAAATCATATATGCTAATTGCTACAGAGCTAATAGCATATAAATAAAACAGGTAAGTAAATATAAATTCATAGTCCACTTTCTAATAGATATTTTATTAGAAGAGAACTGAGTAATAATTAGAATATGTATTTATCTAGAAACTAAAGTAACTATAAGTATATAAAATCTTGCAAGAAATCTTGCTTTAAAATATCTAGAACAGTTTACTTAAGATATTGCAAAAAAATATATATTTGTGATCTATCACTTTTATTATACTCATGTTACTTTTAATACATACTATTTGTAAAATAAAGATATGCTATAATTATAACATGTATATACATATTATTTAATAAACTAGGTTATTAAACTGATTTGTTAAACTGATTTGTTAAACTGGTTTGTTAAACTAGTTTAATAAACTAGGTTACTCCAGTTTAAAACTAGTTTACTCCAGTTTATAAACTGGTTTACTCCATTTATTAGCCTAGTTTAATAGCATGGTTTACTCCAGTTTAATCTACTTCAAGTTGGTTTGAAGTCAAACCAGAGCCACTCTAGAGTGACCTACTCTATTTAACAACCCTAGCCACAGCTCAAAGCTATGGATCTGGTTTGAACCTAATTGGCTTCAATTTTAGATACTTCATGGTATAGATTAAGAAACTAATTTATACCACATATAACTAGTAAAGTAAAATTAATTAAAGATGTGTTTAACCGTTTGGCTAAACTTCTATCATGGTGTTAAAGCCTCAGAGATTCAGATCACAAAAAAAAAAGAAATTAAATAGATGGAAAGTAATAAATGATATGTTTAAAAAATATATAAATGGTTTAAAAAGATCAATAAAGATGAATTTATTATCAGGTTAAAAATAACTTGATAAGATTCTTTACCTTAATATTGTTAATTACATTTTTTTTTAAAAAAAAAAATTTACTTAACTCTCACCAATTGTCTTGTCTCTAGTTATACGAAATTGTTAAATTTAATTGGAAGTTCTCTTTTTACTACTATTAAAAAAATAAATTACTTGTTCGCGAAAGATTTCAAACCTGTGCCATGCAAGCATACATTAATATTGAAGAAGATGAACTTGTAGTTGACTATACAGGTGAAACCACTCAATTTCCACCAGGTTTTACTTATCCTGACATGAAGCTTCATGATTACCGCTGGACAGGATTTTGGCGTTCTTTAGAAAAAGGAGTGGGCAATAAATATACTGCTAAATATACTCACTGCAATACTAAAATGGCTAGCAGACCTGAAAAACTTCACACTCATGTTCTTTTGTGTAATAGTTGGTCTGTTATTGAGAAAAATTCCTATATTAAAAAACTAGCAAGTTTTATTTCCAATTCGCGTAAAAAAATTAAAAAAACTAATTAAAAATCACTTACGTATGTAACTAGAGATAAGTTCGGTTAGTTATTTTCTGTTAATGGTTGACAGAAAATGACTAACCAAATTTATTCCTATATATAACAGCAATTTTTTTTTTTTTTTTTACTGAAGCTAATAGAGACTTTTGTAGCGATACTGATGGTTCATCCTCTTTGATTGTAAACCGTCAAGAAAATTTAACAGATTAGCGTATCAAGCCGATTTTACAAAAAAAGCAAACTAAAATAAATAAAAGTTTGCTTAATACTATTATCTATAGTAACCTTTCTTTTAAAATTGTTAAGAATCCCTATTTGCTCAACTTTCTTACTAAATTGGCACCGAACTATAATCCCCCCTCTGCTAATATGTTGTGTGTAAAAATTCTCAACAATTTGTTTTCAACTTATCTAAGCAAAAAGTTCAAAGTGATGGAATCTCTTTCTAATATCATTATTGCCTTAGATAGATGGCAAGACATATCTCGAAATTCTATATATAGTTTTATAGCTTTAAAAGAGAATCAAGAATATGTCTTAGATATTATTGATTTATCTGCCAATCAACATACATCAGCTTTTCTCAAAGAGCAGCTTAAAAAAATACTTAACTTAAGTTCTATTTCAGTTAATTCTGCAATTATTGTATGCATAACTAATAATCCCAATATCATGAATTGAATAAAAAATAATCTTAAAGAAGATCATCCAAATATCATTCTTATTCGCTGCTGCCTCCATTCCTTTAATCTACTTGCAAAAGACATTTCTGCCTTCTTGTCCTTAGTTACGGTTATTAAAGATAACCAAAAGCTTATTAATTTTTTTACATCATCTTATATCTGGCTTCATGCTTTACAAGAATGGCAGAAGAAAAAAGGACTACATCACTCACTTACAACATTTTGTAAGACTAGACGGTACTCTCTTGCAAAAATTTGCTTGGGCATTAAAGCCTTTGAAAAAGGCTTTTATCACTGTATCGACTTTAGTAAAACCAGAAATTATCCTACAATAAGAATGGAAATTCAAAATATAATCACCAACCACCACCATTTTGCAAACAACGACACATTAATAAAAGTACTTATCCCCATCATTGATGCTATTAGTCGCCTTGAGTCGAGAGATTCCACCTTAGCAGATATTTTTAAAGAACTAATTAGCATTCATTATATTATTTCTACTAAAAATATTCCAATTGATGGGTTCAAAAATCATGCCTTGGCAGCTCTTGATAAACAAACACGCGAATTTTCTGATTAGATTTACTTCATTTCTTTTTTCTTATTACCTAGCCACAAACAAATAGCAATGTCAAGACAAATGTCAAGTAATTTAATTGTTAGGGCATCCTTAGAGTTGGCGAAAGCCTGGGGTTTTGACAAAAAAGAAACAATACTTTTATTTAAAGAACTTATCAGTTACAAGAATGGTGATGTTCCTTTTGAAAATCAATATCCTGAAAATATTAATCCTCGAATTTTCTGGACCAAGTTTACAGAAGGTTTCCCACTTTTTTGATGTTTTGCCATGAAGGTATTTGCAATTGTTCCATATTCAGCATCCGTTGAATGTTTGTTTTCTAGTTTGGAACTAGTCAAAACAAAGTTACGAAACAGGATGTCTCCTGCTTTAACGGGAATACTCAGAATGCTTTGCTATAATCTTCAACAAAGACTATCTAAAGTATCAAAAGAAAAAGCTAAAGTAAATGAATATGAGAATATAAATAGTGAAGATGCCAACATTGATCTTTTTGAGAGAGAACTTAACAATGAATTTTTACAAATTAATATTGAGGTAGTAAATATGGAAATGAACAATGAATTGGCAATAGAACAGTTTTTTGATATCGGAATGTTTGAACAAAATCAAGATATAATTGAAAATGATCAAATTATTAATTCTCAAAGACCTACTAGTAATACTAATGAAGATTGGTTGGTTGATAATATCTTCTTCCAATATAATACTTTTTTTTTTTTTTTTTCCTTTGATAACCTCGTACTAATTTATTAAAGTTTTTGTAATTTACAAAATTAACTATCTAATTTATATATTAGGCAACTACCCGGCTGCTATGAAAGTGCCCAAGTATGGTTATCATACTGATATTTGTCAACAAGCTCTATATATGGTGCTACCCATATTTAAAAACCTGCTATAGCGTGGTACTCAGCTATCTAAATTCGAACCGATTATATTTTACCTTCCTTCTAGACTTATTTTACCAATGTTTAGACAGAATATATTTTCTCCTACTTCTGTATAGCACAAACATATATGCTAATTTACAAAAGAAAGACTTCTTTTAAGAGCTGATTTCTTTTTTCGAGTTATCCCACCTTAAATTTTGGTAATATTGTAACTGAAATATTCAGTTTTGGGTTGGGTTAGGTCTTTGTTAGAAGAGATTCAAGACGAAGAGGCTTTTATTTAGATAGTTTTTAGGACATGATAG